ATACTGAGGTCACGTGCGCATAAAATTTATCGCGCCTAAAATTCATGATAATAAGCAGAAATAATTATTTTATTTTATTTTAAAATGAATGGATTATTTTTCGAGACAATGAGGTCACTTACACACAAAACTTATAAAATAAAGATCCTAGACGGAAATATCACTATTTATTAAAAACAGACTATTTTTCAGGAAGACGATGTCACTTACTCACAAATATTTGAGAGGGAGTTTCCGATAAAAATTCGGCTCGAGAGAGGAGTTCACTGTGTTTCGACCAGAGAAAAAATCTCAAAAGTTTTATAAGGTAGGAGTCTTCACCTCTCTGAATTTAAATTCTACTAACATATTATTTTATTCTTTTATTACGTTACAGGTGTGAGCGTTAGTTTACGTTTTAAACACCTCAAGTTTTTATTATGTTACAGGTGTGAGCGTTAGTTTACGCTTTAAACACCTAAAGCCCAAGGAAACACAAAGCTTTTAAACGAAAAGCTTTGAAAAGTAGCGATGGTCCCTAAACACCATCATGTTCAAACGAATCATCATGTATTAAAAGTTTATTTTTTTTTTTTTGTTTTTTTTTTTGTTTTTTTTTTGTTGAAGTTTAGGATTGTTACAGTGTCTATCCATAACCATTGACATTTATCTTTAACTATTACTGGCCGTATATTTATACGGAGTATTGTATATTCTTGATTAATAAATAAAGAAAGAATTCTCTACAGTATTTTGAAATAATCTTCAATGGGGGCCTCAGGCCCAATTATACCGAAATACAGTTTCTAACATAATAGGCTTTAGAAATGAACTATAGAATCTAACATAGTTTTTGTGTGGAGAGTATTGCAGTATAACTACCATACTCTAGTGTGTGATAACATAATCCAATGTATTTTATCCTTCGAACTCCTTTGTTTTTGTTTTTTTTTTTTTTAATTTATTTTTTGATATGTTAACGCTAGCAATGGAGGGTCGGACATTATGTTGAAGCATCCACCGCTTAACCATAGATGCCCCAACCTTATTATGAAATTTTCTTTTTTTATTTTCAGCAAGTGGTTAGCCTGTTTTTTCTTTTTTCCTTTTAACTTAGATTCACCAGCCCAGTTTTTTTATAAATAGGAACGAAAATCAACTCAACTTTGTTCGACTCTATGCAACGTGACATGTTACATAAGTACATTAATTCATTAATTGAATATTTATTCAACACCATATTTTCTCTTAATTCACAACCTTAGATACCACCTGCTGATATGCACGTGGTCTCCTTCCCTCCGTAAAAAAAGAGAAGTTAATTACTTCAAAACAATGGTACCCAATGATAAAACCATATATAAAAAAAATTACAAAAATTTATCTCATAGGTCATAGCCCACATGCCTCACATCAAAAATAAAAAGGAAGCATCACTTATTTGGCATTTACTCGGAGTAACAAAGTCCGAAACGTTTAATTTTCACTTATTTTATTTTTTATTTAAATTAAATTTATTATTTAAAATTTTAAGAGCCATTCATAGTGAAAAATTGATTTGATTCGACATTTGCTAATGTAGACCACTAGCTCACATATACGAACTCGCTTTCCAAAAGACTGGTTCGCCCAATCGACCTGTCAATCAATCTTGTTGACAGTTCAATTTTAGATGAAGGCAAATGAGTTCAAGGAATCCCACATGGACAGGTGGTCCAGTGGGGCCACAAAATTTTTTACACGTCATCTATGACGCCCTCCAAGTGTCTAGCGTAAAACTAGCCTTCATGGTAATTTCTTGAACTCACACACAGGTGGTGTATAGATTGTTCCTTATAAAGAAAGTTTAAGGGAAAATATATATTGAGATTGTTTATCTTTAGTACATGCTAATCACAATTAATTTTAGTTATGGAATGTGTAATTGGGTGGTTGTATTTATTTTATTAATTAAATTCAAAATTTAAAAATTTTTTTTTCGAACTTTGTGACACATCCAAGCTAGCAGATTTTACGTTGGATGGTTATAAGTAATTGTGAATTCTTTGCATTAAATGTAAGTCTCATTATATACAATTCCAAAGTTTAAAATTCCAAATCGATGAGAACCTTGGCATGGTTAAATAAGAACTCATAGTCATTATGATAACTTAATAGGTTATGTTAGGGTGCTCACATTATGAAGTAATTTATGATTGTACTTAACAAAATTTGGACACATATTATTATTGTTTTGTATATGGAGCTTTTTTTTTTGTAAAAACATTTTGGTAATTAGAAAGGGTGTAACATCATTTACATGGGGGTGTGACATTACCTACATGAAGTCTTAAATGTCACTAGTGTACTCCATATGGGTGATATCACACCCGTCCTAATGACCAAAATACCCTTATTAAAAAATACTTCATGTACAAAACAAATATATAAAAGTATAAAAAATTATTGAGTATAATGATAAATTACTCCATAATGTGAGCACCCCAACATAAACCTTAATTAATTTAGGAAATGAATATAATGAAACCATTACCTTTTCATACAACGAGATCACAAATATTATTGACTATTAGATGTGAAACTGAAAGGTTGATGATATATTATGGATTGGACGCAAATTTTAAAATAAAATTTTTCGAATGTTGTGACCTACTTTAATCTATTGGATCTGAAGAAAAAATTCAAATTGGTCCCGCTTCATTTAATAATATAAAGCTGGTTCAGCATAATTTGTGTTAGACCAGCACTTAAAAAAATAATGTCCCAAGACTAAATAGAAACTGTCAAATTTTTAGACGGTAATCAAATTTCAATTTTTCTTGTTGAGAATAATTATCAAGGGATTCTAAAGTGATTATCAAAATTTCATATTGAAAAAATCTTGACGTACCTGAAAATTAACAGGTACCAATACTTAATAAATACAAATGCGCTTTAGAGAGATAAACAATTTTTTTAAAAAAAATTAGCAATAAGAAAGATTGAACATAGGGATCAAAGATCTTTGCCATGCCCCGGGAAGAGTTAAGAGGAAAAAACACCCAACAAGAGGGGTCTCTCTCTCTCTCTCAACACGATACTAGTTTCTCTTCATTCAATTGTTACTTCGCCCAAAAAAAAAAAAAGGTAAGATTTCTATACTCCCCATACTGTATAGAAAATATATACTCCCTCCCATCCAGTTGTCTAACTTAGATCAAGTAAGTCACTGAATGTTTGATCCAAGATCCAACACCTCAGAGATTTTATTTTTAATTTTTTTGCAAATTAGATGTATATAAAATTTGGTACATACAATCATATCAATGGGGCTTACCTATTAAAAAATATTTTCGATAAAATACAATAGCCAAAATACCCTAAAAATTTCAAGGGCATTTTGGTTTGAGTTTAAAAGAGGAGTGCACCCCCAAATTTGGTATCGAAATGTTTTGTAGAAAAATATTAGAAATAAAATAAAATAGAAGCATGAAATTATGATTGGGGCCATCTCAACCGTCCATTAAAAATGGGTAGTTAAATAAGGGAAGTATATAAGTATACAACTAAAAAAGTATAAAAAGCTTGTCAAAAAAAAAAAAACTATTACATGCTCCGTTCTCTTCTTATTCCACCTCTAAAACTTTCCCTAATCCAGCCTTTTTGCACGGATAACTCCTAGTCATGTCCCCAGAGATAAGTCCCCCCAAAATCACAAAAAAAAAGAAGTAATCTCCCCTTTGATGGTGAGCCTTCCTAAATATAAAAACACTCTTTCAAAACAGAAAGAAAATGGCCTTCTAAAAAAGAAATGACTTATCCTTTTAAAAAATGAGTGATTCACATGTAGACCTTAAAATTTTAAGTGAAATACAAAATGCTGTAGAAATTACAAAGAAGCTCAATCAATCTACATTTTTTATTTATTTTAAAATTGTCTTTAGGTTAACTTTATTATTATTATTATTATTAGTTTATTCGTTAGTAGGGCCATGTCTTAAAGCTTGAGGCATGGTCTTATTAATGAAAAACCTTAAAAAAAATCAAAATTTGGATTGTTAAGAAAAAAAAAAAAAAATAAAAAAAAATTGATTTACATAATTTCCACCTATAAATGAAACATTTCATATTTATTTAAAATTTTAAAGTCTATATGTAAATCACTCTAAACCAAACACACCGTATTAAAAATTTACAAATCATCTTGACCGCATCAGAGTAGATCATTTGACAGAGGGAGTAGAAGTAAACTGTGTTCCCGAGGAGCAGGATATATTTGCTCAAAATGATGTTGAGTGTCGACTTTCCAATTTGTTTATGTCAACAACAATGGTGTGGACATGTGTGAACCAGGTTTTGTGGTTGACGAAGAGGAGCATGCCCCTTCTTATAAGAGACATACCCTTCTTTTCCAAACAAGCAAAAAACCAGAGGAAATGGAGGTTGAGAAGGCCACAAGAGGCCATGTCCTGGTGCTTCCCTACACAACTCAAGGTCACATAAATCCCATGCTCCAGTTTTCTCGGCGCCTCACACACAAGGGCCTCAGGGTCACCCTGGTCACCACCATCCAGAACCTCAAGGACATGCGCAAGGCGAACCCCTCCGATCCCGACTTCGTCAGCATTGAACTCATCTCCGATGGCTTCGACGATGGCTTGCCCTCAGAGTTTACAGTCGATGCGTATCTTGCTACCCTGGAACGCGTTGGGTCTCTGACACTCGACAGTCTCCTTGCTCGACTCAGTGTCGAAGGTTCTCGACCTCTCTGCATCATCTACGACTCGTTCCTTCCATGGGTCCTAGATGTTGCACATGCCCATGGCATCTTAGGTGCCACCTACCACACACAGTCTTGTGCCGTAAACACGATTTATCGACACTTGCATGGAAAATTTTCAGGTAAAGAAACAAAGCTTGAATTGCCTCTTTCTCTTCCAGGGATGCCCCTTTTGGACTCTTTGGATCTCCCCTCTTTAATTGCACAGCCAGAAGCCTACCCTGCTTACTTAAAATTGGTAATGGAGCAGTTCAGGAACATGGACAAGGCAGATTTTGTGCTAGAGAACTCATTTGAAAGCTTGGAGGGAGAATTCAGCAGAGAACTGGCCAAGGGGTTGCCCATAAAGATGATCGGACCGGCAGTCCCCTCTGCGTACTTGGACAACAGGATTCCGGACGATAAAGGTCCCACGGCCCATCTATGCAAGGCGGTAGATTGCCTGAATTGGCTCGACGAGAGGCCTTTTCGATCGACAGTGTATGCTGCATTTGGAAGCCTAGTGAGCATGGCTGTGGAGCAAATGGAGGAGATTGCCTGGGGTCTACACGCGAGCAAGAGACCTTTCGTGTGGGTCGTTAAGCCGCCACCCATATACCTAGAGGGGGGAAATCTGTTGCCTAAGGGATTCTCCGAGGCCACGATCGATCAAGGCATCGTTGTCCCGTGGTGCCCTCAGCTCGAGGTGCTATCACACACAGCAACTGCTTGTTTCTTGACTCACTGTGGCTGGAACTCTACGCTCGAGGGGCTAAGCCTCGGAGTGCCAATGGTGGCAGTCCCGCAGTGGACAGACCAACCGACAGACGCTAAGTTTGTATCGGACGTGTGGCAAGTCGGCATTCGTGCGAAAGCCGATGACAGGGGGATTGTTTGCCGAGACGAAGTGGCAAAGTGTTTGAGAGATGTCCTGGACGACGACAGAGCAGCTCAGATAAGGAGGAATGCAGAGAGGTGGAGAGAGTTGGCTAAGGAGGCTCTGGATGAGGGGGGTAGCTCAGATAGAAATATTGATGAATTTGTGGCTGCTGTGTTAGAAAATAAGGATTCGGGCCGAGACTCGCTGGGGGTCGGGGGACCCAATCAGGCTTGAAAGACTCGTTTTATACTTGGCCGAGTCCAAGCTGAAGGACTAATATCACATAAGGAATTCCTTCGCCACACGTAACCAGTTCCTATCTGCTTGGTTTCGGACTCAAAGTTAGTAGTGAGTCTAACTCGGACGTGTCTGAGTCGGACTTGCCATGTTTTTCCTACAGTGGTTTTATGTATCATACACTCGTATTGTGCGTAATACAGCACGGGGGATTCTATCCTCATCTACTAAGATGGATGGTGTAGAATAGCTGTGCCGTGGTGAATATCCATCACTTGATCTCGGCTCGATCTCCATCGTCCTTTATTGGAAATTAACGGCGGATGTACTCTATGGTGATCTTTTTAGTAGATCAAAACTACTGGACTTTTTTGTGTTTTTTGGGATGGGTGTGTGTGTGAATAATTATTTTGGGGTTTCTGAACCATAGTTTCTCCTAAAGAGAAGCAGCATGCCATGTGCTGTTTGTCTATTTCTAAGCAGTATGCCATGTGCTCTATGTCTATTTCTGAACTGTAATGATTCTCTCTCGGTCTTAGCGTGACAAAATTTTAGGGTAATTTGCACTATAGTTAACAAGTCTCTGTTTAAAAAATAATTTTTTAAAAATTCATTAAAAACATTGAGTTTTTCAAAAGATCTTTAAAAATTATTATTATTTTTTTAACGGAACCTATAAAAATCTGCATTTTATCTTTTTTAAAGAAACTTTTCAGAAAAAATCTTCACTATATAGCTTTATTTCTTCATTAACTTAATATTATTGAATTTTGGTTTAAAGATAAGCACATAAATAGTGGGAGTAAATTAAGAATCTTGATTTAATAGATTCGATCTAGATCACCAATTTAATGATCCGACATAGATACGTGAGTGAACAAATCCACCCCACCGATCTGGGTTTTAAAACATAAGTTTTAAATGAGTGCTTGATTGGTTGAAAGTTTGTAAAATTTTAGATAGTTCATAATTTGGATAGCTTTATCAAAATCCATCCAAATTATCAACTATCTAACATTTTACAAACTTTCAACTAATCAAGCATTGGTTTAAATCTATTTTAAAACCGGGATCAGTGGATTATTCTCTCACATACATGTGTATACTATCCATCTACTCCCTCAGGCTAAACTTATATTACTAATACCGTGTAGATCCCAAATTTTGGGTATATGATCTCTAGAGCCATGCAACAAACCATCAAAAAAAAGAAAATAGAAATTAACTCTAGATCCCAAATTTTGGGTATATGATACCTAGAGCCACGCAACTAACTTTAAAGAAACAGAAAAATTAACTCTCATTGTCCCTAAAAAAAGTGGCATCCCAATATTTTTCTAGAACCATCTAATTTTTATTAGGAATGATCTAGATGTTCAATAATTCAAAATCCAATTTTTTTTTATTTAAAAATAATAATCTGGTTATAACTAGGTGGATCCATAATTTGAAATAATAATAATAAAAAAAGCCTCCCTAGTAAATGTTTTGCCCGAAGGGGTAAATGTATAGCAAAGTATATGTACTCACATTATATCTGGAAAGAAAAAGGATACCCGACAAAGAAGTAAAGATGCACCTCAAAACCCTAGCAGGAAATACAGTTTTGGCACCAGAAACAACTTGCATGGATTGAAAATTTAATTTTACCCGTGATCACAAGTATGATGTATTTGTGAGAATTGATAATAGGCGGCCTAGGCAACATACTATAAGCTACAATAATTTTGCAGTTTAAACTTTTCTTTTTTCCTCTCAGATCCATGACTATCGAGGTTGAGATGACTTTTTTTATATTTTTCCAGCGGTGGAATATAAATTTTTGACAATTTTTTAAATGGCCACTTGAAGAAGCAGTTGCAAAACCGCAAAGCTATGCACAACTTTACCTTTTTAAAAAAGGAAAATGGTTTGATAGGGCTGCAATCCTTTCAAAATAACTCAATAAAAAATTACAAGTTAAGCATTGGAAAACCTTTACATCGATCATCTCGACTTGAACATCATGATTGTGAAAAAAATTAGGATTTCAAGCTCTAAAAATAGTGTATATTGTAACAAATTATTTAGACAGTCCATTTTACTTTTAAAACAAGTGTTCACAAATCCACAATATCTATACCTATATTTGAGTTTCAAATTTTATTGTTGGTTTTGAAAATTGATTTTTGAGCTATCATAGAGATTTTTGTTTCAAGTTTTACTGTTGGTTTTGAAAATTGATTTTTGAGCCATCATAGATATTTTTGGCGCAAAAAGTAGTTTCCGAGGATTTGAGGTGAGGCGTTGTTTTGTTTTCATGAAGTCTACGTCTCGTAGAAACCTCTTCCTTTATAAAAATTGACGTTAAAATCTCAATAACTCCCACCGTTGACATGTACAGACAATGCGTGTGGATGTAGAAAACGGTCCTTACAATAACACTAACGGACGTTGTTTTCATTATAATAACGATCATGTAACGGCAATGCCGTTTATATGGGGTTTCAATTTCACTTCATAGACAAAATTAAAGAAAGGAAAAAAAGAAGAAGAAAAAATTATCACAATATATCTTAATTTTTCTCTAATTAAAAAAAAACTTTCAACGTTCATAAACATTGTCCACACCTTTTTTCTTTATTTTCGACATTTTATTTTTTTACTAAAATAACCTTCACACAGAAGTGGCATTACTTGGTCAAATACTTTTGACAAGTGAGCCTTACTTGGTCGAATGATGGGATCCTCTAAAAAATATAACCTTCATGTCCCCACCGTCATAGAAAATACGTCCATCATTAGATTTCCTCTTGAAAGAACCACCTAAATGTAAAACGATTTTCACTCCATTGTCACCCATTATTGTTACTTACAAGCTCAATCACTACAGAGAAATTTTAGATGAAAACAATAACAAAATACTGTTGAGAAGTTTCAAAATACTTATATATAATGAGGAGGTTGCATTATAGAGGGACATTAGATTGCAATACAGATGCCACAACATAAATAAAAATTTAAAACTTATTTATGCAATATTTTAATAAAAAAAATTACAACCACTCAAGTACTATAACAAAACAACATAATATTTCTTGTAAATTTTCACATCGCAAATCCAAGGAAATATAATTAAAAGCCTGGCAATTTTGGTGACATACCGATAAAATAGTGTTGGAGTGTATATTTCATGCTCGCGGATTGGGTAATAGCTCTTAGAGACCTCGTTCAGAGATTGAGAAATAGACGAGAAAATAGAAAATAGATGAGATAGAAGGTAGATAAGGAATACACATATATATATATATATAGTCGGTGGGAGGCGAAAGGCGACACGAGGGAGTAGG